GCATTGAAGCTTTTTCCTATTAAAGCTGATAGGATTAGTTTGACTCCTGGTGGAAGGGTCTAAGTATAACCCAGTCCAATCAGGCTGGCATTGTTTACTTTAGCAGATAGAAAAGTTCTACAGTCCAGCTTGTGTTTAGTACTGATGCCAGAATGGATATTACTGCCAGCCAGCCATGAAGGTTTATTGATGTTTCAGTCTTCTCATTAACCTTCTGGTAGATAGATCCTTCAGATTCAGTGTTATCATTCACATGAGTGTAGAGCTGGAAGTCTGCAACCTTGCAACCCAGGGAAAAATTATTCTGGAATAGTTTGGATTTGGCTATGTCAAAACTCATCTGAAAGCCAGCAAGCCAACCTTCAAAAGATAACACAGTCCAGCCATAGATGGTTGGTCGAGAAAATCAATATCAACATTATTTGCCAAGATTGAAACACTCTCATTTATCGGAGGCCTTCAATTTCCCTCTCTTTTTTCCTGTGTTTGGTACAAATATGGTTTCAAGAGTCAGTTTCAACCCTTCAGTCTACTTGGTCTCCAAACAGATTTCTCCTCCAACAGTATTGTCTGTGTTCCATTTTTGGGTGAAGATAAGTCCATAGTTACAGACCTTATATTTGGTCTCTACATTGCTTGATGCTTTCCCTGTTTCAGTGTAGACCTGACCAGAAGTAGAAAATATTACTCCACTATGAGACTATGAGACTTGGTTCTCAGATCTATTTTGACCATGTGAAACCCATATTCCTTGTTGAAGACATCCTTGGCAGCCTAGGTCACAGTAAGTCAGTGTGTTACATATATCTCTCTATTTTATCCTAATATTTAAATTTTGTAAGTTTCTTTTCTAATATCAAATACCTACATAATGGAATTTTTTTTTATTCTCAAAAGAAAGCTAACATGAGGAAAGGATTTGTGATATTATCTGATATGATTTATATGAGTCCAAATTTCATTTCCTAATATTCTAGATGTATGATCTTGGGCATCTTCATACATCTTTCCTTCTGTTTTATCACCTGTAAAATGGAGTTATCAAAAGTTACCATACATGATTGTTGTGAGGATTAAATGATAAACTTAATATAAAACTGGTTATACAGTTTCAGCTCATGGTAGATGCTCTTCTTAATGTTGAATTTGGTCATCATATTGTCCTTGGCTGAGTTGTGTATCCCCAGATTTACAGTTTGGAGCCCTTATTATCTCAGAATGTAGCTGTTTTTGGAGTTAGGGTTTTAAAGAGGTGATTAAGTTAAAATGAGGCCATTAGGGCAGGCCTTAATCCAGTCTGACTGATGTCCTTATAAGAGAAAATTTGGATACAGGAAACACCAGGGATGTGCACACACAGGGGAAAGACCATGTGAAGACAGAGTCAAAAAGAAGTCATATGCAAGTCAAGGAGAGAAGCCTCAGAAGAAACCAAACTGGCTGACACTTTGGTCTTGGACTGCTAGTCTCCAGAACTGTGAGAAAAATTAGTTTCTGTTGTTTAAGCCACCCAGTCTGTGGTTTTTTGTAATTATGTCCCTGGCAAACTATATACAAATATTCACTATTTCAGAAGAATTGATCCCCGTACCTTTTTCCTATGCCAGTTCCTACTAGTCTAATTGTAATAAGGCAATGATTAATAGCATGATCTTAGAAGTTAGAAAATCTCGAATTTGAAGACTGGCTTATCCATCTAAATGACCTTGGGGGAATTTCTCAAATGTTTCTGAGTGTCAAACTTCTCACCAGTAAGATGGGGATAACACCTTTTTCATAGTTATAATAAATAACTAGAAGAGATGTTTGTGAATTTCATAGTATTGTTTATGGCATATAGGTGCTAAATAATTGGTAGAACTTACTATCTTTTTATGTGATGGAACATTTACATGTGTTTTGTCAGTTTGGCTTAGTCTTCTCCAAGCCTAGTCAGTATAGCAAATCTCTGTGTGAAGTGCCACACATGTATATAATTTATACAATTATTTAACTATATTTTGGGTGTGGAAAAGCAGCTTCTTTAGCTTTTTTGTTGGCTTCAATCCAAGATCACAAACCCTGGAAGTGAATTGTAATATATTTTAAACATATACCCTAAAAATTCCTCCACTGTATTACATTTGTTTAAATGATTTGATGATTTTGCTCCAGGGACCATGCTTAGACTATTTTTCTTTCTTGAAGTTCTTCAGACTCTCATCTTAGGAAGATAAGGATTATCAGAAATTCCTCTCCATGAGGTATTCTAGTTTGCAGTTGAATGAACAAAGCTCTCCATTATTATTATCTGAACCAACTCTTAAGTTCCTTGCATTATTTATAAGGTACATTTCATGGTCTGGTTTTATTCCCTTTATCAGATTGTTTATAGAATAATGTTGTATTTTTCTTTAATTTATAAAGGATGGAATTTGCTTTCATAGACATTTCACTGTACTTTCTATTACCTAGTAAGATTTTTAGGTTATACTTGTTTATGCTCTCTCCTCACATACATAATACACTCTGTCTCTTGCTCATTTCTATCCTTTGCTCACAGCTTGTGAATAGTCATCACAATAGCCTATGTCCACAGTTTCTCTCTATGAGACTGCAATTTTGTTAAGATTTTTATTTGCTGTCATTAATTCAAATTAATATTTATTGGGCAGTTACAATGTATATGGCACTGTGCTATCTACAGTGGAGGAAGAAAGATATCTAAAATAGTCCCAAAGAGTCCACAATCTCAGCATTCCAATCATATATGTATATATTTGGCTTCTAATATTTGTTTGGGAACACATATATTCTGACTTAGCTTTTCTTCCACTACCCATTCCTGTTTGTGTCCCATCTGAAGGGGTATCCACTCTGCCCCTCTTTCTTAACTCAAGTAGGCCAGTAAATTTCCTCTGGGGACCTCAGGCAGAGTCTTTTGTCAGATCATTTTGTGTCCTTTCTTATTCTCAGTTCTCCCCCAATTTTTAGAACAAAACCACCTAATTTGCTTAGATAGCACAATGTTACTGATGGGTGGTTTAAGAGGTTTTCTTGTCAAATGTTACATCTCACTTTGCTGAAGTAGGATATCTTCTTTCTTTACTTTCATCAAAAGACCAAAGCATCACTTATCATGGGCTTGTTTTCATTTATTTGAAAATTAAGGCACTGCCGATAGACTTTCTGATGAAGAGAAGGAGGGCATCTGATTCCACTATTTTAGGCAGAAATTCCTACTTCTCAATGAGTGAGAGCAACACCCCTCCACAACTTGCACCTTAAAAAAAAAGTAAAGCCAGACATAAAAAGAGAAAAGCAAACTCTTTAGCCTTAATAGGCACCCACACTTGGAGGTGAAATGAGCCAGGAAGAAAAGAAGAAAAAAAGAAGAAAATGGAAAAAGAGCCTAAAGACAAAAAAAGAGAGTAGATACATATGTTAGGAATCCGGTAGAGAATTTAGAACCCTACTAAGATCTAGTTTCCATCAACCATACCATTTATTTCCACCCAATTCTTATGCCACCCAAGCAGGATGTAATTGGGTACCATCTCATAAATTTTTTACCAATAACCATTAATAAACGAACTGTTTAAAACTCTTTAAGTGCCTCTTATATGTGAACTATTGTGCCAGGTGCTAAACAAGAGGAATACACAATTCTGTGCCTGCCTTCAAGAGTGTTAACTGACTAGGTGGGGCAATGAGACACTACCAAGCAGTATTGGGGGTCTTTTGGAGGTCTCGAAGGAGTTAAACAGACATTAAATACTGACAAGTTCAAAAGGAGAGGGTGAGCATTGAACTGATTATACGAAAAACTGGGCTCTATTCCATCTCTGCCATTTCTTTGCCATGTGACCTTGCGTAAGGCATTTCTCTTTCAGGTGTCCCCTTTCATCCCTCCACCATCCTCCATCCCCTTCCTCCACCAAAAAACAAAAACAAACAAAACAATTAAGAAAAGAAAAATAAAGGAAAAAGAAGAGGTCATACCAGATCTCTAAATGTGAGAGTATTTGGGATGATTACTAATGAGCTGTGTTGTATGGCCCAGATTGAAGTCTACAGCTAGCTATGGTCCCCTGAGCTGCCGTTCATTTTCACAGACGAAGGGACCGAATTCCAAATTTTCCCCAGTTCAGTAGCAATTTAAAGGCTCAGAACCTAATCTTATCCTGATGTTGTTAAAAAAAAAAAAATTCCCGTACTGAATAGTGCATCTTTCAAAACGATTATTGTGACTCATATAAAAGCTTAAAATATATTCTTGACACAGTTTACTGAGAGAAATGTTTTCCTAAAGTGAAAATGGGGGGAAGGAGTGCTTATTCGTGTTAGAGGGAACAAGGTGAGCAATTAATTCTTAGGGATCTGGAAGGCTTTATATTCCCAAACTGCTGAGATACAATTCCTTCCGGCAGACGTGACGGTTAAACAATCATGCAAGTAGCAGGGCAAGTGAGAGAAATCCAATAGATGCACCTGGACAATGGGGAAGAAGCTCACAGAAGTCATAGACTGCAAAACACCTGCCCCGTTCACAAAATTGCCCGCAGTCAGACCTAGGGAAATCTTGCAGCCTTGGACTTGAGGCGTCCAAGATCGCTCGCTTGCAGGCATCCTATTGATTCACACTTGCGTCCTTCAACAGGTAGCGCCAATTACAGCCCCCAAAGCACGGCCCCCCCAGCATACTGGCCAAAACCCCTGTCAATCAAATACTTCACCTACCTTTCTAAATTCTCCCCTCCCTCTTCCATTGGCCTTTCCTTCGGCCTATCCCCAAATTTCTTCCGCGCCTCGCGACCGCGGAACTTGGTCCTATGGAGCCTAGGATTGGAGCCGAGGCTACTCCCGCCCTTTGACGTCCCCGAGCTCTCCGCCCTTTTCAACTGGCCCCGCGCGGCCGGGTGGAGGGGGCGGGACAAGCGGGGGGCGGTTTGGAGGTGGGGCTTGCCTCCCACGGCGGGAGGGCGGAGCCTGCGGTGGAGCCTGCCTGGTCGGTTAGGACCTCGGAGAGCGCCGCGCGCCGCGACCTGAGGGACTGGGGAAGCGGCCCGAGCCGGGCAGGACTGAAGCCTGCGAGCCCGCCTCCCTCCGCACCCTCAGCTTCCCAAGCTGGCAGGCGGCTAGTGGAGGCTGAGAAAGGTGCCTAAGTCGGGAGCCAGAGTCATCCCTCTGGGACGCCGCCGCCGCCGTCCAGCAGCGGCTCCCTCACACCTGTATGTGTGTCTGCGCGAGCGCCCGCGCGCCAGTGTCTGTGAGAGCGGGTTTGTGTGTGCGCCGGCTGAGCGCGCCAGTGTCTTGTGTGAGGGGGTTTGTGTGTTCGCTCTCCGGCGGGCGAGAACCCCTCGCCTAGGCGCTTGGTTCGAGGAGGAACCGCGGGAGCGACGGCTCTGCGCTTCCAGCAGGCTAAGTCGCGACTCGGGCCGCAGCCATCGCCGCCACTGCCTCATGTCCCCTAAGAGCCTCCGCGGGGCTGCGGGGAGAGCGGACGGGCGGGCGAGCGCGGCGGCGGCTGCGGGCAGCGCGGGGCGGCGGGTAGGTGGAGGAGGTGAGGAGGGAGGGGGCCGGAGATGCGGGGACGACAGGGAGCGGAGGGAGAAGTGCAGGCAGCGGTGGTCGCGGCCGCCCCTCCGTCGGCTCCCTCAGATGCTTTGGGGTCCGGGCTGTTGGGGTAGGGGATTGAAAAAGGCCTCCCCATCATTTCCTACTGGGAAAAAGGGAGCGTTGAAGATGACGGGTGAGAGCCTAGAAGGTGGTGGCAAGAGTAAATACCCCCTCCACCCCCCGCAACATCGTTTTTCTGAAAATACAATTTTCTGAGCTGAACCTTTTGAAGGAAAGCCCGCCCTTAGGAGAGAGACAGTTTGGGTCTGTTGGACTCTGGTTTGATTGTATAATAATGATGATATAATGCTAATGACGATGATGACACTGCCTTTTATTTTTACCCCAGTGCTGATAAAGCGTAGCTACAGCTGGGGGTAAAGCTTTTGAAAATTTGATGTATGAAGAGGAAATACTGTTGCTTTTGGAGTTGTGTCTTATTTTTTGAGGGATATGCTTTTCAGAATTAAAATTTGACAAATGAAGCCTGACATTTGTTTCTTCTTGTTTTTTTTTTAGTCATTTTATGAGCCAGTGTTCATAAAATGGGGACTGGCTACAGCCTTGACTAATGAAAATAAACACTTTTACCCAGACATAGTTCCATGTGTTAATCACCCTTTCCTTTGAATTTCTCAACAGTTTTAAAATGAAGAAGTTTAATTTCCGAAAAGTTTTGGATGGCTTAACTGCCTCCTCCCCTAGCGGCAGTGGCAGTAACAGTGGTGGCGGCGCTGGTAGTGGTTCCGTGCATCCAGGAGGGACTGCAGGGCTTCTCAGAGAGGAGATTCAGGAGACCCTGACTTCAGAGTATTTCCATATTTGCAAGGTAAGTTTTGAATTGGCTTAAGGCTTTACAACCTATTAGTTCTTTATTTACTGCTGTGAGGAAAAAAAAAAAGACACACACACACACGAAATTGTTGAGTAGCCACTATCAGAGAGTCTGATGCCAAGAGCTTTGTGGATAGGTCAGTTTGAATTAATAAACACACACACACGCACACACGCACGCACGCACGCACGCACGAAATTGTTGAGTAGCCACTATCAGAGAGTCTGACACACACACACACACACACACACACACGAAATTCTTGAGTAGCCACTATCAGAGAGTCTGATGCCCAGAGCTTTGTGGATAGGTCAGTTTGAATTAATAAACATATTCCAGGCATCAATTTAAAAAGCAATGGTAGTTTAAAGGGGAAATAAGCAAACATAAAAGGTAGAATTTGCAAGATAGTGTTAAGGCTCAATAATGGACACAATCTTTAAGTTAATGCTTATTTATAAGTAGTAAATGGAAGGAGAAAAATCCTCATTCTGGTTAATTTCGTGTTGTCAGAGAAACCAATTGTTATTTTGCTGTTCAGTATAAAATGATTAAAGCTATTAAGATGTTGCTAGAATTAAGTAAATAGCTAGATGAATATATCCATTTAAAAAGATCTAAATGCTTTGTTTTAAATTCGTTTAAAATTCTAAAAAATTCTCCAGATTCTTAAACTCTTAAGAAATAAACAAATGCCATAGGCTTAAAACTTGTAAGAACTTGTAATACTTGTAGGAACTAAAAAATAACCTAGGTTCTGGTTTAATATTTTTAGATAATTATACTTTGATGTTTAACTTCTAATGAATAAGCAAAAGAAAGTTTCTAATGAGGAGAGATGAGAATTTATAAAAAAACATTACGTTACTATACAGAGATATTGTATTTTCTGAAAAGTTTATTTATAATATTATTGTCCTTTTTGGGGGGACAGCCTAGGAATGTGCTTTTGACCTGCCATAATTAATAAAAAAGCTGCTGTGATACAAATGAATATAGTTTTATAAATGTGTTTGAATACATAAGAAGAAATGCTAAATTTTTGAAATCACAGACATTTTTGGTACTTAAAAATTTTTTTGCAATTATTAAAATTGTTTTTGCAGTGAGGAAGTTATGTATAATGAGCTAAGTTTTAATTATTGCCTCAAGTTTATATTCCAATAGGGTTCTTATAAAAACCTTAAGTCTATAGATATTCCTAGTCTGTGAGGTTTCTATATAATACAAAATTATATACAATTTTTCCTCAATTTGAAATAATAGATACTTTGTCAGATTAGGGAGAAGTTTAGTAGTGGTCAGAAGGCAAATATGTAAAAGAGTTCTGGAAGCCAAATTTGAACTGTTAGGTTGGGGAATTATGCTCTCATTCTCTAATCTTTGATGAATTACCATTTCCATTCGGAGATTCTGAAAAAAATTCTAAATTCTCTCAGTTCATGAATGTGATGCTGCAGGGTTTTAATAGGTGTAAAATTAGTATAGGCTTCGGAAACAGAATGGCATTGGGCTGTTGAGGTTATAAAACTGGTAGAGAAGTTTTTAAATAAAAAATTTCAGGGGAAATGGGTGAAGGCAGTAGGGGGAAATGGGATATATAGTCATCTTTTTATTTATTCAAAGAAGATAATCATGTGAAGTGGCAGAAGTTAAATATGTAGTACTTCAAAGACATGGTATGGTAGGAAGGGCACTTGGCCTAGGATTCAGAAAATGTGTATTTTATTTAAAACCACTTCTGAGCCATATATCTGCCTTAAGCCTTTATTTTCACATTTATAATATGGTAGTATTTCTTCCTTTCTTATGTAAAAGAGTTATTGGGGAGGTCAAACAAGACAGGTGAAGGCAATGTGTAAGTTGGAGGAGATAAAATGTACATTTATATTACTGTTAAGGTCTTAAAATCATCTTATTCTTGGTGGAATGACTATAACCAGTGAGTTATAATAATATAGATAACAATTTTTGAAGAAATTATAAGACTAGATAGCCATAAAAGTTAAATACTAGTAATGTTAAAATCTTACTAAATGGGGAAAGTACTATGGCATCTTTGGATAACAATATAATTAATTTTAAAAGGTGGTTATGTGTAGTACTTTAGGTTACCTGGAGTGTAATAAAATATACAAAAATGAATTAAGGAAATTCCAAGATTAGAACTGTTTCTAAAATGGGGACTGCGGTTCGACTCACTGATTAAATGTGCAAAAACATTCTATTAAGAGTACTAAGCAACTGGACCTTCTGGGTACTTCTGTCTTTTCAACATGGCCAAAATTAAAGTATTAATCTCAAATCTGCTCTTTTGAAAACCATGCTTCTCTCTTGGCTGATTACTCGTCAGATCTTATCTGTTCTATTTCCTTAGTGTTTTTGAAATTTATTCCTTTTCACAACCTCCCGTACTTGTTCATTCTATCATATTTTCTTGGTCTCTTGAATTCTTCCTGATTGTCTCACCTCTTGCTTTACCCTACTCCATTTTGTTATAATAACAGCTATTTTTGAATTATAGTGCCAATTATGTCATTTCCCTGCTAAAAATTATATGTTGGTTTCTCTAGAGCAGTGATGCTCTACAAACAAGTCTTGTGTGAAACCCCAGTAAGTAACATCTGTTAAAACAAATAAATATAGCACTTCATTGGCATACATTAAAAAAAATATACAGCCAAACAATGAATAAACTTTTTTATATATGGTTTTTGTTTTATAGTATTATTGAAAGGTAGGTCATGGGACATTTGCTAGCCTTTAGTAAAAGTATAAAGCTACAACCGTGATCATCAACGATATATAACAAGTTTGAAAATAGAAATGTTAGAAGAAATTTTCGTTCAAGTTCAGCAAAAAACAGGTCAATGCATTGGTTTAGTGCAATCTCTCTGAAGTTCATTATGTAGCATTTGAATGCCCATGTTCAAATATTTGTGAAATAGAAGCCTTTTCTGAACTTAAATTCTAAGAAACACAATTGGAAACTACTGCTCTATACAATAAACTCTGAACTGCTTAACTTGGTCTGTGTATAGTTGCCTTCAAAAAGTTTTCCTGTTTGCCTTTCCATCCTCATTTCCTTGATTTCCCTAAGCATGTTGCATTCCCTGACAACACCATATTTTCTCATATTTCAAAGCCTTTTCTTAGTCTATTGCTCCTGACTATAATCCCTCTTCCAGGTTTAATATAATCAGAGAATTCCCAGTGACTATTCACCTCACAATTCAAACACCATCCTTCAGAAACTAGCTCTGATCAGTGCCTTCCTCATCTCATCTACCTTTCCCAGACAAAGTTAATTTTTTTTCTTGTATCTGTTTTTGTATAGCACCTGGCATTTACCTATAGTGTGAATTTAGCACCTTATAATGATTAAAAATTTTTTTCTATCACTGTAATACTGTGAACTCTTAAAGAGACAAATGTATTTTCTTTCCTTATCATTTCCTTATCACTACCTAGCAGGCCAATGGTTCTGAACTCTGTCTAAAAGAGAGATTTCTAACTTCACCTTAGTCTTAGAGAATCAAAGTCTCCAGGGATGGAGCCTAGGCCTTTTTAAAAAGGTCTCATAGGAGATTCTGATGCACAGGCAGTCTTGAGAACCATTTAGTAGGAACTTGATATACTTTATGAATGAAGGAGTATATACATTGTTGGTTGATTAACTGAAAAGGTTTTAAAGCAGAAAAGAATTAATAATGATGTGTCTTAAACATTTTATTGTAGCTAAAAACATATACATCAATTTACAATTCACTTGATGAATGACCAAGATTTTTTTTGTTGAGTATTGGTTTTATGATTAGACTTTTGTGTGGACTTTTCTTCTATAAATGATCATAAATTCATTGTGCACAATTTTCAGTTTTAATTTATTTAAAGTAGAATAAGAACTTACATGCTTTTAAAGCAAACTAAGTGCCAGGTTCTTCTAGATGATATATACATATCATCTGACAATCTACACCTAATTAGGCTGAAAGTGGGAGAGCTAGTATTGTGTCTTGAGAGAGTTTATTTCAAGCATTCAGTGAACCATTAGGATCAATCTATGTTTTACAAAGGCAAGAGCTTTTGTTAATCTAGCAAGTTGGTTAAAATAAAATTAGCTTCATCTGTAAGATATTCCATTGGACCTTCTTAATGGTCCTCTAAGGTAAGCAAGAAAAATGTTAATATTTTTATTATACTGATAAAACATTTGAGACCAGAGAATATAATTGGAGTCCTTAGGTTTCCAAGTGATCTTTTTAGGGGAACAATTCAGAAGTATTAAATAGACAATGACAAACACATGGGATGTTCTAGAACTAATTAACAAAATAGACAAAAATATATCACCAGCACCAGATGGCATAATTCCTGAAGTTTTGAGTAAACTTAAATTATCCAACTCAATATTTATCAACACTTGTAAGCTGTTTTTATGAATGGTCATGGTGTCAAACCAGCTTGTAGATAACTTGTGCAACTTCTGCAGGGAAACATTTGTAATCATGGCACTCATACCAGACATAATGTCAGATCTTCCCAGACAAGTAGTCATAAAATCAGAAACATAGTTATAGACTGGAGAGATGGACTTTTCAGGACCCTGGAAAGCTGAAGGAAATAAAGTGCCTATATATCCCTTACTTCTTCAGGTTTTCCATTGTCTCCACATCCTTCTAATTTCACATCATTTGCTTGGGAGGTTTTGTAACAGAAACTGGCACAAGACCATGATCATAGTTCTACATTTCTGCAATTTTCATTCAGTAAAAGATTCCTTGAGATCTGTGGATTTGTCTCATTCTATACTTGTAAGCTGGTAGAATAAAAGGTGATACAATTAACATTGCAAGATAACTTATTATAACAAAGGATTACGCATTTGATGATGGCTTGCTTCTCCTGTTGCAAAAATGGACAATACAGGATTGGCATCTTTAAGGACAGTAATGGAGGCAAACCAGAAGAATTAAGCTACCTTGTTAGAACTG